ACTGCATTGACGAAAACTGCCGCAAAAGACCTCTCCGAAGTGTGAGACTCAAAGACGTCACTTTGAGGACCAAGGTGCGCCTGACAGGCCACGGTGCTGTCCTCCTCTGCCTGCGAGAGCTGGGCGGTGAGAGGGGACGAGCGGAAGGGCTGCACTGGCAGGGTGCCGCTGGCAGAGAACACTGCCTACACCACGGTCTGCGGAGAGACCGAGCAGTCTGTTTCGGGAGAAGTACAACCAGAAGGCTCCTTAGAAGGGAAGACTGCAAGACTCGCTCAGGTCCTTGGACGTGTTACCAAGAGGGACTGGTCCCGGATGAGGGCCTCATGCTCGAGAACGCCAAGGCGGAGTGGGAAAGCGGAGCTGGAATGACACAGCAGCGGTTGGGAGACTGGGCAGGGCTTTGCTCTGCGTACGAAGGGTCGTCCTAAGTTAGAACTGACCTGACGGTGTCTGGCAGCCACATTCCCGTCTGATGCCGGCCTTTGCGTGGCTGCAAGAGCTGTATCAGAATCCTCGGTTAGGATCCTGACACTAACTGGTGATGTGTGCCTGTTCTCTTTGTCTGCCATGCTAGAAGCTTACCAATTTTATTTTTTTCTTCAAAAATACCAGACTTTGCTCTACTGATTTTCTCTACTGTTTTTGTTTTCAATTTCACTGATTCTTGCTCGTTGTCATCCCATCGATTTACTTGTCCAGGGCTATTTGGTTCTTTCGGGCTTCTTGAGACAGGTCCTAGACGACCGGCTGCAGGCGTTCGGCATTTCTCCACTGTACCCAGCTGGTGTGAACAGTTCTCTCAGTGCTACGTTAGCTGCATGGGACACAGTTTGACATTAAAAAAAAGCAAATTTTCCTACTCGGTTGTTTTGCTTTTTCTTTCCCAATGCCTGTACGCAACATGACCTGCAGTTTATGCACACGGGTATTGCTTTATAAGGGTTTGAAAATTTTCTTGTCTCTGTTTGAATCCCTTATGGTTGGGAAACATACCGTGCTGTGTCTTTTCACTTTGTTGAGGTTTGATTTATGACCAGGACACAGGCTACTTGGTGAATGCTTCCCGGTGAGGAATGTGTGTTCTGCTTCTGCGGGTGAAGGCTTCTGTAAACGTCAATTAGAGCGGCTGGGTGGTAGCGTTATTTAGTTCTCTGCTGTGCTATCAAATTGTCTGCTAGTTTTATCAGCTGCTAAGCATGGTATGGATACGACGAGGGTTTGAACCCCCACTGTGCCTTTGCCTCATCTCCTTTCCAATCAGCTATTGTTTTGTTCATACATATGAGGACTGCCATTTTCATGATGACTAAACTTTTGATCAATATCTTACCTTTCCTTGTCTCTTGTAAATTAGTTGGCTCTGAAGATTACTTTAATATCAATGTAGCCACTGCTAGTTTTAAAATAATTAATGTTAGCATGGCATCCTTTAATATTCTTTTACTTTCAACATTACCTGTGCTGTTGCATTTAAAGTGTTTCATTGACCGTATGTAGTTGTTCCAACCTGCCTCTAATTATAGAGTGCTTCCAAAACACAAAGGCCCAAATCTCATTGCCCTTGAATCGTTTCTGACTCATGACGACCCTACAGGACAGGCAAGAACTGCCCCTGTGAGTTTCCGAGACCGTTAACTCTGCACAGGAGTAAAAAGTCTTGTCTTGTCCTGATGAGGAGCTGCTGGTTTTGAACTGCTGACCTTGCAGTTAACAGCCTAATGCAAAACCAACCACTACTCCACCAGGGCT